AAAAAATAAAAAATATACTTTGTATTTAAACAGATTTCATATCAGCAGATACAGTAGAGCCAAGTGTTCACCTGTTTTTACCTGTTGTTCACCTGTGTGCACCTGATTCACTTTTTCCATTTAATTTATTCAACTCATTTAACTTATTATAATAATAATATATAATAAAAACTCTTCCCATCAGTGTGAGTTCAGTATTTGTCATCTTGGTCACTTTCTCTTGCACAGAGCTCCACATAAGTGTTTGTTTCTGTAGTGATTCTGTTATACGTTGCATCTTGGAAAAAAAGACTGAAATATTTTAAAAGACTCGTCTGAGAAACATCCAGATTTCAGGATATTTTGGTTCATAATCGAGTATAAAGCCTCTGATAGTTTGTTTGGACATCGCAGGACTCCACACAGACGCATCAGCCACATTCTCACCTTCATAAGTTTCACTCTCTGTAAGTCCGTCGCTGTTTTCCACTTTATAATCAACTTCATCATCACTTTGAAATCAATAAAAGTCACTTTCTTTAAACTTATCCATAAAACACGTCCGCTCCTCATTATTTCTAAAACTGTGCGTCGCAGCGCCGCCATCTTTCCATTACACGTGTTTCGTCTTGTGTTTTTTTTCCGGAAGCTCCATCGTCACTACTTCGATTAACTTCGGAAAAAACATATCCTTGAATCCTATTGGTCAGTCTAGTGTGGGGTGTAGTGGCCCCGACCAATCACAGACTCTGTTTACATGTGAAAAACCGAGTCGTTTCTAAAGGTCGTCAAATCACGTCTTTAGTGAAACAGCGAAGGAGACACAAGACGTCGTTAAGGAAACAGGGGTTGTTAAATGTTCATGGGGGAAAGAGTTAAAGATGATATTTTCTTGTTGACTGATCGTGTCTCTGAACTGTTTTACTCAAGGTTTAAAAAACAGTCATTTCTTTTTCTTTTCAGAATCAGCAATACTGGAACAAATGAGTCCATCCGTCCATGTTCTTCCTCTTCTCCAGAACCCCCACTCCCAGACTTCCTGGGAAGACCCCAAGTCCCCAAGTCGTTCCCAGGTCAGACCAGAGACATAGTCCCTCCAAAATAGTCAATAAAAAAATTACAAAAAGATTGAAAATGATACAAAACGTTTCCAGTGAGATCGGTGGTTTCAGACGCAGCAGCAGCAGATCAGGAGCAGCTTCACTCCGTTTCTGTTTCCGTTTCTGTTTCATTTTTGTGAGCAGAGAAAATCCCAATTCACACAAACATGTAGAAGTGAAAGGAATAAGTGGAGAAACACTGAGACCTTCTGAGCTTCTGAGGACTGCAGCTTCACCACCCCCCAAAAAAAAAAAAACTCTCCTGACCCACCTGACCCGGTCTTCAGGAAACACTGCTTTAAAGGAGCACTGTGTAACATTTCTGGCAGAATTTCCATCACTTGTTGTGTCCATGGAAATATTATTGCTCCGCAGGATGAATGAAACATCTTTTATGGCTGTAAATGCCTCATGTTGGTGCCCAAATCGGTGCACGAGAGAATCAAACTCCTCCCGTCTGACTCTGTGACTCTTACGTTTACTCAGTTTCTCACTAAAATCAGCAGCTCTGTGGTATTTTCATTTTGTAAAGAGGAACTCACCGGAGGAAAACTGTCAGAGGCTCCTGAAATAAAGGTAGAGTGCACCGCCTGGTGGACAAAAGTGAAATTACACTCTGATGGTGTAAATGAGACTGTGGACTTACTTTTTGGCAAATCGTAACACGTCTGCATCTTGTATTTTGTGATTTTTTTTTCAATATGTGGGTTTCACGTGACGTCACAGGGCTTCGTTTGTCAGACGGAGGCAGGAAGTGAACGACTGGAGGAAAACGCCGATGTGTTGTGTCGTTTACGTCTGTGCCAATCGTTCTAACCCAGAGAAGGAAGAGAGATGAATTACAGAACCGAATATAGTCGAACACAAAGGTCAGAAATGGGAAAAGCCGACAGAACAACGCCGTAAAAAGTGGATCACAAACAGTGTTGTGGAGTAACAGATTACATGTACTGGAGTAATCAGAGTACAAATTATGAGTAAGTGTATTCAGTTACAGTTACTGTTTCAGTGAGTGGGAATTGGATTACAGTTACTTTGTTGGAATAAATGAATTACACAATGGTAATTTTCAGTTTTTATATTTTGGGATAAATCTGGACTAAACCAGGACTAAAATCAAAACTAAACTAGGACTAAAATCAAAAATAAACTAGGACTAAAACAAAAAATAAACTAGAACTAAACTAGGACTAAACCAGAACTAAAACCAGAATTAAACTAAAAAGCATGACAATATCAAATAATCCAAAGTAATCAGATTACATTACTCACTTTAAGTAATTTAATGGATCACGTTACAAACTATTTTAGTGTGTGTAATCTGTAATCTGTAGGGGATTACATTTTAAAAGTAAACTTCCCAACACTGATTACAAACCTGTTTTGGGTCGGGAGGAGCAGAATTCGCTGATGCTCGTGTCTGCAGTGACACTTCAACAAAGGTTTGTTACAAAGATCAATAGTTTTTTGTGGTTTATCTAAACATAAACGAATCATTAACGACGAACGACGTTTGTTGACATTAAATAGTTCAGATAAATCGATCACTGCCGATACACTGCAGTTTTACACATAACAATTTATACACATAAAATAAGAGAAACACTCACCCCGGCCAAGACCAAAACCATAATCATCATTTACACCAGGAGAGTTAAACTCATTTTGTTCCGGGGGTCGTGTCCAACGACTTTGATCCAAAGTGTCCGGATCAGAAAACTCATGTCATATAAACCCCAAAAATAACAAGAAGTTCAAATATTTGTGCAGAGAAACACAAATCTATTACACAAATCTTTTTTAATTGATGAACTCTTTCTTTTACAAAATATTATAATATTATGAACAACCTGAAACTTTAAGAAAAATACAATTTCAACACAAAGTTTGAACATGAACTTGTCTGTAAACAGGAATAAATCCATTTTTGTTGTAAAATCCTGCACTCGGCTCCACTTTTCTCATGTTGGACATTTTTCTGATGAGGGTGTCACGGTCAACAGTCAAAACGATCGTCCTTTAAGAGCGTTTGGAAAGAGACAAGTCTTCATTTGTGCTGCTCTGGTGGGAGGGGCCACGTACAGAGACGCTGGAGACGCTGCTGTGATAAACACCACGGAAAATTCTGTCTGGGAGAGTTTGCTTAGACTGATGCCCCCGAGACTCGACCCCAGAGAAGAAGAACATGGATGAATTCTTTAGTGTTTTTATTTTATAGGCCTATTGATTTGACTTTGATTAAATGCTGCACAAAATTATTATTAATACAATTGTTATTCATATTTTTATTGTTTCTATGGCTCCTGTGAGCTTCAGATTTTAAAGTTCTTTTATTAGTTTATAAAGCTCTTAATGGTCTTAGTCCTGTTTATTTATCTGATCTGCTTTTATCACGTGAGCCTCTCGGACTCTCAGCTCCTCAGGTCTCGTCTTTTAACTGTTCCAAGAGTCAAACTCACAGTGAAGCGTCGTTCAGCTTTTACGGTCCACGTCTGTGGAACAGTCGACCTGAGGATCTGAGGTCTGCTGCGAGTGTTCAGATTTTTAAAAGTAAACTTAAAACACATCTTTTTAATTTAGCTTTTAACTGAAACTTTCACCTGTTTTAACTTAAATGATCATTATTATTGTTATTATAGTTACATTATACAATCTCTACATGCTGCCCCCTACAGGCCAGTTAATAAGCAGCAATAACGTGTCCTACCACAATTATGCAGACGATCTCAGGGGTAATAATGGACTCAGACTTGAACTTTAACAGCCACATAAAATCAATAACATCTGCAGCCTTTTACCATCTAAAAAACAGAGCAAAAATCAAAGGTTTACTGTCTAAATCAGACTTGGAGAAACTTATCCATGCGTTTGTCTCCAGTAGGTTAGATACTGTAATGTTCTGCTCACTGGTCTCTCCAAACGAGCTGTGAGACGCTGCAGAACATCCAGAACATCCAGAACATCCAGAACATCCAGAACGCTGCAGCTCGGGTCCTGACTCGAACTAGGAAGTACGAGCACATGTGTCCTGGTCTCAGGTCTCTGCTCTGGCTCCTGTGGCTCAGAGACTTTAAAGCAGCTCTGTTTGTACAAGTGTCTCCATGTCCGAGCACCAAAGTCCATCTGTGACATGTTAGTGTCATATGAACATCTCACACTCTGAGGAGCTCAGGGACCAACTCCTGCTGGTGCCCAGAGTCACGACTAAACAAGGGGAGTCAGAGTTTCAGGTTCATGCAGCTAAAACCTGGAACAGTCTGAACATGTGAGACAGACTCTTCTGTGACGCTGTTTAAATCCAGACTCTAAACATTTCTGTTTAACTGTGCAAATAACTGAAAGGTTTTCATTCCGCACTCTTCTCTCCAATTTATGTCTCTTTTTTTTTTAATCTTCATGATTATTTGTTTTGATTTGTTTTTATTATGATTTTAATGTATTTCTTATTCTGTAAAACACTTTGAATGACTTTGTGTACGAAGTTGTGCTGTACAAATAAACTTGCCTATTATAGTTGTTTTAAATTAAATTATCATTACTGATTTACTTCCTCTCCTTCTGATCTTAGCTCTACATTTTCATTTTTACTATAACTTTTAAGAGCTTTATGTTTATTAGTTTTTATGTTTCTGTTAAATTGTCGTATATATGGGGGGTTAATTATTGTATTGATTTTTTTCTGTTGCAGGTGAAGCTCTTTGTGCTACATTTCAAATGTATGAAAAGTGCTGTACAAATAAAGTTTGATTGATTGATTATCAACAGGTCGACCTACAATTTATCATTTTTCACTCTCCTTTGCCAGTGTCAATCACCAGATGTTTTTGACCTTTGACATTATTGTTCTTAGAAAATAAATAAATGCAATATCGTTTTCATCACAGGATCAAACCAAAGATTAAAAAGTCGGAGACGTTTGCGTACGGCTCTTTTCGAGTTTAATAACCAACACTGCTATGTACAAAGCAAGCAACATCATCGTCATCATCAAATCAAAAACTAAAGGACTCGAAACAAAATGTGGGAAAAGTCCAGCCGCGGGTGGTGAGTGTGACGCCCCTGGGTGCTCAACCGTTCACACCCTAGTGGTTTTAGAAAAAAGTAACAGAGCGGGGAGCGAGTGCAAGTGTGACAAACAGGAGAACGTGGACGAAGTCTTCCGTTTCTGCGCCGTGTAACTTTTTTTCCGTTGGGAGCGTCTTCGTCCGGAATGTTTCGCAGTGCGGCATTAAACCCTTCTGTCGTCACGGAAACCAAAACAAACCAAGTTACGCTCAGATCTGCGGTCAGAACGTCTCTTTTTCTAGATATTTCTGAGCTGTAAACCCAAACCGTAATCGGATAAAGGGCGAAGTCGAGCTGTTTAATGCCACACTGCGGAACATTCCAGGCAGAGCGATGGCGTATCCGTAGAAACAAGCGAGTGACGGACGCCCAAACCAAAAAGTTACACCGGTAAGTTTTGGTGAACCCCGCCTTCTCGTGTGCGTTAAATTGTACAGTAAACTTCAGCGTTTCCTATTAACACGGATTATTTTTGTCCCCAAAGCCCAAAAGCAAATTTAACAAAAAAAAAAAAAAAACTGCAACAAAAATTTAAACTTTAAGCTCCTTGTGTTGTCAAAATACAGAGGCAATTTTGGTCTATTTAAAGGTCCAATGTTACGCAAAAACGACTTGTGAGTTTTAAGTCGTGTTCTAAAGTTTCCTCCTCAAAAACAAACCCGGAGTCGTTCCGTTTCATTCACATTTAAGTATCGCATTTTTCGGACTAGAAGGCGCAATTAAAATAAAATCCTCTAAAATCGACTGTGCAATTAACTGAATTTTGATTTCCAAACTCATAATCGAGTTGAAACGATTAAAGCTGAACTGAAATCGATCGTAGAAGAGCTGAATATAGAGTTTATTTTGGACACATTTATGTTTTTCTGCTTTATTTCATGTTCAAAGTTTATTTATTTTATGTTTTATACGTCATAAAAATGCTCTAAGGTTCGTTTTGTGCGTAAATTGTCGATAAAGTGTTTCGAATTACTGTTTTACTCTAGATGCTCTGAATTTGATTTGATTTGGTTTTGTTGTTGTTGTCATCTGCACTTTTGTTTTGCTTTTTTCTATAAATGTATTAAAATTTTCAAACACATACAAAAATAAAGTAAAAAAAATGATAATAATACAAGTTTTGGGGGATTTTTTGAGAGAGAAATGCTGAATAAATGCATCGTGTAAATAAAAATAATCGTTTGAATAATTAGGATTTCAATATCAACCAAAAATAATCGTGATAATTTTTTTTCCATAATCGAGCAGCTCAACTGAAATGTTTTAATTCTGGTCGTGTTACCGACTTCGAACTGATTTTCTGTGGTACACGGAGTTCAAAAATCTGTCAAAATGTTTTAGTACGACTTTGGTAAAACTACGAAGCTGCGACGCTTGATGGATTATCGGAGCGTTACGGCGAACGTGGTTTTAAGTTTCATTTCTGTAAAACGTAAATGTGTCAAAGCTGCATTAAACACATTATTACTCGAGTAAATCTGAGTCGTCCTTGTAGGAAATAAAAAAACAAAACATGGAGGCGACGCCGGGCGAAAATATTTGTGCTGAATATTTAAAAGGTGATTTTTAAAAAATATACATATATTGGATTTTAAACACTTTGAACACATACACTTAGAATTTAATTAACTGATATTCAGCAGAAAAATAATTCAAGAGTTAAAAATTTTAAAGTGAGAAATTCAACAAACCCATGTGTCATTTGTTCATTTTTCAAAATAAAACCAAAAATACATGGGGAAAAAAATAAAAAAAATTCTTCATTATTTGTCTCCAAAACCAAAATGAAAAAACAGATGATTAAATTTTTCAGTTTTCAATTTTGTGTTTAAATGAATAATGGAAAAAAATAAAGAACGGACTGAACCAGGACTGAACCAGGACTGAACCAGGACTGAACCAGGACTGAACCAGGACTGTCATGGCTGGGCCTGCATAGACTGTTGGGTGATCAGAAAACCGAGACCAGACTGAGACCGGGACTGAGACCTTTTTAGACCTGGTTTAGTCCTGGTTTAGTCCTTCTTCAGTCCTGTTTTAGTCTTACTTTTTAGTACGACTTTGGTAAAACTACGAAGCTGTGAAGTTTGATGGATTGTCGGAGCGTTACGGCGAACGTGGTTTTAAATTTCATTTCTGTAAATCGTAAACAAATGTGCTCAAAGCTAAATTAAACACATTATTACTCGAGTAAATCTGAGTCGTCCTCGTAGGAAATAAAAAACCAAAACAGAGACGACGGCGAGCGAATTACGCCACGATCTGCCGATGGACCGAGGACGCCTGGACTCAAGTGTCGTCCGTTTGTTTCGCTTAATGCTCCTTATAGTCCAAAAAATAACTATTATTATTATGAGTCTGTCTACATCTCCAAAGCTCAAAACTTTCTATTCCACCTTGTGATGTCATCATGTGGTGATACAGGACTGTGTTTTTAAACTCCACACACCTTCACTAGAATCACCTGGAGCATTTCAGCGCCGGAATTCTCTCTCTATCGATTTCTACTCAACTAAAAAGGTAAAAAGAGCTGTTTACTTGAAACTACCACTTCGTGACATCACAAGGTGGAGCAGAGAGTTTTAGAGCTTTGGTGATGTAGACAATAATAAAATAAACAAAACACAATTCCAGGTCTGTTTTTGAGGAGGAAACGACATCAGAACACGACTTAAACCTCATCAGTCGGTTTTGTGAGCTACAAACGAAAAGCTGTTTTTGTTTTACTTTCACAAATAAAAAAAAAAAACGATTTAATTAACTGGTTTTAAAACTGGGATCAACCCGTACGAGGTGCCGTATCAGCGAGCCCTCGTCGGCCCGTCCACACACGTTTATGAATTCTATCTGTTTGATTTTTTGTACAAATATATAATTCTACACACATTTTCAGAAACACAAAGATTCAGACGTGTTTTGTCCCGTCAGATTTTAGTGACGACGCTACAGTAAAAGTACAATGAGTTTATTTATTTATTCTTACACTTCAGTGAGGCTGCAGAACCCACGAGGAACCATGAGGGGGCACTAGACATTTCAATCGCAATATTACCAAACAATATTCTGTAAAACTAAACTAAAAACTATGGAAATAATAATAAAATAATCCCCAAAAACCCAATTATCAAGTCTTTGTTTCTTCACCAGATATAAATTAAATTATTTTAAACTTTTTGTATGGAAGGTCATTTGTTCGGTAAGATTTAGAATTTTAAATACCGCAGAATTTTTCCAGCTCTGAAAAAGATGGGATCACTCTGGGTCATTTTACACTCTGAATTTTGACTGTTGAAATTGAGGCTTGAAAATAATTGTGCTGAATATTTAAAAGGTGATTTTTTTTTTTTTTTTAAATATTGGATTTTTAACATTTTGAACATGAAGACTTAGAATTTAATTAACTGATATTGAGTAGAAAAATTATTCAAACAGGCTTTTTCAGAGTTACAAATTTTTAAAGTGAGAAATTCAACAAATCAGTGTGTTATTTGTTCATTCATTTTTATAAAAAAACCAAAAATAATAAAATGAAAAACCAATTATTTTCTTATTATTAAAACCAGGTCTAAACCAGGACTAAACCAGGAATAAACCAGAGCTGAACCAGACTGAACCAGGACTAAACCAGGACTGAGCCAGGAGTGTCCAGCCTGTTGGGTGATCAAATATCCGGGAGCAAACCGGGGCTGAGACCGGATTAGACCTGGTTAAGACCTGGTTAAGTCCTAGTTTAGTCCCGGTTTAGTCCTTGTTCTGTCCTGTTTAAGTCTTACTTCAGTCCTGGTTCAGTCCCTTCTCCGTTTTTTCCGTTTTTAAACACAGAATCTAAAACTGATAAAACAAATCATTATCTGTTTTTTCATTTTGGTTTTGGAGACAAATAATGAAGGAAACAGTTTTTTTTTTTTCCATTTTCTTATTTTTGGTTTTATTTTAAAAAACGAATCAACGAACGACACACAGATTTCAGCGGCGTTTCAAATTCAAAATCTGATGAAACCAATTCTCTTCCATATTGCTGAACTCTGAAAATGATTACTAATCGGCCAATCTAGAATCTTTTTACTGGACTTTAAATTCTGCAGCCGTTCCTCTGTCAGCAGAAGCAAGAATTTTAAAGGCATTTTTTTGTAAACTATTATATATATATAAAAAAAAAGTCTTTATGATCACGAAATTTACACAAGACGCCATTTTTATTAGTTTTTTTTTTTAAAGGTGCATTAAGCAGCTTTCTGGTTGGCGTCCGTCACAAGTCTGTTTCTATGGAGACGTCACTGTTCTGCCTGGAATGTTCCACAGTGTGACTTTAAACAGCTCCACTTTACGTTTATTCAAGCACAGTTGGATTTATTTCTCAAAAACACCTTGAAAAGCAGACATTTTTCCATCCTCTCCGCAGATCTGACCTGTAACTCGGTCTGGGTTACGTCTCCCTAAAGATAGAAAGGTTTAATGCCGCACTGTGGGACATTCCAGACAGAGTAATGACATCACCATGGAGAAAAGCTTCTGACGGAGCCTCCACCGGAAAAGTTACACAATGCAGCTTTAATAATAATAAAAAAATAATAATTCTAATCGAAAATTGCGATCGTTCAAAATGTGGGAGAAATACTGATTATTACGGAAGCCCTGAGTGGCAAGAGGGGGAAAAAAAAGAAAAAAGAGCCCAGATGATGTGCATCTTAAGTGTTTTTGTTTTGTTTTCCACAAAAAAATAAAAAAATATATATCTTGTTTTTTTTGCAGCAATGGCAATTTAATAAAAAAGAAAATCCAAAACTCTTAGAAAACAGAACCCAAATGACAAGAGGTCTTTAGTTTTTTTTAACTATTTTTCTCTTGTATGTATTTTTTTCCCCAACGGCAATTTATTTATTTTTTTGCGTTGATGTGGCTCACAAAAAAAAGAAAAAAGCAAAAAACAAAACTCTTAGAAAATAGAAGCCGAATGACAAGGTCTTTAATTCGCTTTTTAAAAACAGTTTTTCTCTTGTATTTTATTTTTTTCCCCAATGGCTATTTTTATTTCCGTTGATGTGGCTGACGAAAGAAACAAACAAAAAAAACAAAACAAAACTCTTAGAAAACAGAACCCAAATGACGAGAGGTCTTTAATTTGTTTTGGTTTTTTTTTACCGTTTTCCTCGTGTATGTTTTTTTTTTTTTTGCTGATGTGGCTTACAAAAAAAATTAAAAAATAAAACACAACAAAACTCTTAGAAAATAGAACCCAAATGATGTGCCTCTTTTCTTTTTTTCTCTTCTCTTGCCACTCTGGGGTTCCGTAGTTTCTGAATATAGGTCAAATATAACAGATTATTATACGTGGGCGTAAAGAACAAACGCACCCAGGGAGGTCATGTTTGTGAATGTCGGCGTGAGGTTCTAAAAAACAGATTTTAAAGGTGGTGATAAAAGTACAGGGCGACGGCAGAACTACGCACGGGTTTAAAAAAAGGACTCAGTTAAAACTCGTCTTTTACAAAAAACGCCGGTGAGTCGGTAAGGGTCTGTACATCCGTCGTGTGGGGACAGGGGGCGCCGCACACGCAAGAGGACACGTGTGCGGAGACAGTCTCTACGTCTACACAACACCGGAGCAGAGGAGGAGGAAGAGGAGGACGAGGAAGAGGAGAAGAGCTGAGGAGGAGGAGAGCAAAGGTGGAGAGAAGCAGACGAGAAGAGCAGAGGAGGAGGAGAGCAGAGGTTTAGAGGAGCAGAGGACGAGGAGGAGGATGAGGAGGAGGATGAGGAGAGTCAGAGGAGCAGAGGTGGAGTCTTCCTCCGTCTCCGTGGAGCTCCAGCAGCTTGAGCAGACCACAGCAGAGTGAGGTGATCATCTTCAGTCTGTTCCTGTTTTCTTCCGTGGCCCTGCAGACACAGGAGGAGGAGGAGGAGAAGATGAAGCTGTTTCTGGACTTTTCTCTAGATACACAACAGTACTGTATTTTCCGGGCTATTAGTCGCTCTGGTTTATAAGACTCACTGTCATTAAATGGTCTGTTTTTGAACTTTTGTCAAGAATAAACCTCGTGGGACTTTAAAGGAAACAACAGTGTGATGGGTGAGTGGTTTTGTTGGTTTGTTCGTTCACGGTGACTCTGGGCTTTGTTCAGTTGTGGCGTGTAGGGAGGGTGTGTCTGGGACTAGGAGTGTGCAAAAATATTGAAATATCGATATATCGTATCGTTTAATGTAATGATACAGTATCGATATCGTGGGCTGCTGTATCGATATATCGCGTATTGAGTATTTTTGGTGTATTTCACTAAATTATTTCGTTCCAGCTACAGTTTTGTTGCTTGTTTAGTGGAAGGAAACTCATTCACACGGCAAAAAGGTTCGTTAAAATAAAAATTAAGAACATTTGACTTTATCTGAGTCGACTCTACCAGTGGAATAAGTGTTTTTCTAAATTCAAGCGACATTCGATTTCATTTCTTATTTTAAGGGTTGTTGTTTTTCTTTTTTTAAGTGTAGCAAGTTGTATTTTCATATTTTAAGAACAAAAAATCGTATTCTGATGCTGATAGATAATTTAACTTGTCAAGTGGAATTTACTCAAATCATGATAAAACTTTCTCAATTCAAGTCATCTTAACTTGGCTAGATTTTATTTTTTGCAGTGCATGCGACACATTTGACATTTTCACTGTTTTGAGGATTAAAATGTTTTTGTTTCATATTCACTCTGCACAAGAAGAAGTGGTTTAACAAAGACTTTTAGTATCACAGACATGATTTAGCCTTTATTTTTATTGAACGGCATCGAATCAATTTGAAATATATCGTATCGAATCGTAAGTTCATCGTATCGAGATATGTATCGTATCGTGGCCTAGGTATCGAGGTGTGTATTGTATCGGCAACTTCTTAATGATGCTCTGGATTGTGGCGCGTGGTCGTTTTTTTGATGCGGTTAGAGGCTTAAGAGCGCGTCTAATAGGCGAGCTTCAGCTGACGTCGTTGTTATTAAAAGTGCACGTTGCTGCTGGGAAATATTTTGGTCGGAGGCGAGAAACACGGTAGCATCAAACACAGTGCGTAACCTCGCGTATTTCTCCCCGATAATGGTAAATTCCTGCTGCATTATCGGACGCACGAGACACACACGTCAATCTAAAGTTCAGAATAAGTTTTGATCAACAGGAAACAGTAAAAAAATGGAAAAAGTGTGATGCTCTAAACCTTCTGACCGGTAGTGTATCGGTTGGCTGATATTTGGACTTTTTAGCACCATCATTAAATCAGCTGTTGGCCTTAAACCTCCGGCAGAGACACAGATTTAGTTTGGAGACCTGCAGCCTAAAAATACCCATAAAACTTTATTTGAACATTTAGTACAAAGAGAAAACTGCTAAAAACGTGACACAGACGCTCGCTGACAGATTTGTGCTGAACAAAAGGATGTGGGCGAGTTCTCAGTAAATTTAAAGTTAAATTACATAATAAAAAAAAATAACTGACTGGTCCTACACAGAGACACAAAAACATCAGCAGAGTTTATCAGCAATAAAATAAAAACCACGTCACAAAACAGCAGGAAAATAATCGTGTCATTTCTTATTTTTAAAAACCAACTAAGTGAAAAAGTAGCTGAGGAATATAATATCAGTAAAGTTTGTTACCGCGCAGGATTAACTCTCGTCGTCTGAGAAGTGAGGTTTAGCGATGGCCATCTCCTCTTTGCTGCTGGCGATCATCTTACACTTCTGCAAACACAAAGAGACGCCTCAGACACAGATCTGACACATAACACAGGTTTTTATGATTTTGAAAATGTATGTATGTATGTATGTATGTATGAAGTGTATCACATTCACTATATTTACACTGTGTTTATTATTAATATTAAAAAATAATAATAATAATTTTAATGAGATTACAATATTTCTCTGCTGTAGATACAAATTAGGAAAAGGAAAAAGAACAGTACAAAGTATAAATTACAACTGAACGTGTGGCTGGGTGGGTTTAAAACGACAGTACTGTGCTCCTGTGTGGATAAAAAGTATAAATATTTGGGCTGTACCTCCGTCAGCTCCTTGATGGTGTGAACGTTGGCCTGGTGAGCCACTTTCCTCTTGGCCTCCTCGATGTGATCCAGGTTGATGGTGGGGGTGGGCGGGGCCAGACTGGGCGGGGGTTTGTTGGTGATGGTGGGCAGAGGCGCCAGGGGGGGCATGGCGGCCAGAGCCCCCATGTTACTGAGGGCCGCCGTCATGGTGGCCGCCGTCATGCTCGCCATGGCGGCGCTCATGGTCATGTTGGACATGCTGGGCATCCCGGGCAGGCTGGGCAGGCCCATTGGACCCATGTTGGGCATGCCCATGCCCATGCCCATGCCCATGGGGAGGGGCAGGGGCAGAGGCAGGGACAGCGGTGCGGGGGAGGGCGTGGGCAGGGGCAGCTGGAGGATGGCTTTGGGACGCAGACTCTCGGGGATCGGCACCCCGGCCTTGGCACACATGGCAGCAGCGTTGGCTTTGGCAATTTCCAGCAACTGGTCCTTATCTGAGAGACAAAGACAAACAATATAATAAAATATTAAGAAACTATTATGTAAGACACTGATTCTAGTCAGTGTTCCTCTTTTACACCCGTATAAACACACTAATGTCCAAACAAATGGAACTTTATCCCCGTTTCTCTCTTCCCAGTCCCAGTCATAATCCCAGTCCCAGTCCCAGTCATAATCCCAGTCCCAGTCCCAGCTCCGGTCCTAGTCCCAGTCCCAGCTCCGGTCCTAGTCCCAGTCCGCCCTGTGTCTGTGTCAGTGCCTGTAGGTCTGAAGTCTCACCCAGCTCCGTGATGCGAGGGGGAGTTTTGCTGTTGCTGCGTCGAGCTCTGGAGCCTGAGCGCCGCTGGTTGCGGAGGATCAGAACAGGAGAGTGACTGGGTTCCCTCTTCCATCGGTCTCGTCTGTCCAAAGAGCCACTGCGAAAGGCCGGCCTCCTGCCTCTGCCCCTGGAGCGGGACCTGCGTCTGCGCTCGGTCGACCGGGACCTGGACCTCCTCCTCCTGCCCGCAGACCTGCTCCTGGAGCGCTTCCTCCGCCCTGTGGACCTGCTCCTGGACCTCTTCCTGCGATCGGCAGATCTGCTCTTGGACCTCTTCTTCCGGTCTACAGACCTGCTCTTGGACCTCTTCCTGCGATCCACGGACCTACTCCTGGATCTTTTTCTCCGATCTGCAGATCTACTCTTGGACTTCCTTCTCCGGTCTGTAGACCTGCTCTTGGATCTTCTCCTCCTGTCTGCAGACTTGGAGCGCCTCTTTGCCCGGGCCGTGTTGGAGCGGCTGCGGAGAGCGTCTTCTCCTGGCTGGAGATCTGGACTTGGATTTACGTGTCCTTGTTCGAGACTTGGAGGAGGAGCGTTTGCGGCGAGCAGAGGAAGGAGAGCGACTGGACCTCCTTCGTCGACCAGGACTTCTAGATTTAGACTTCCTCTTCTTTCGATCTGTTGGAGATTTGGACTTCTTCCTCCCTGGAGACTTGGACCTGTGGAAATAACACGTTTACGATCATGATCACGAAGAGCAAGAATTTTAAACATCAAACATATGTTACCACCCCTGAAATATAAAATATTAACACTTATCCGTTGGCTAACACTCACCGTGAGGCCTTCTTGCGGGGCTTGGGTGTGGACCGTGGAGATGAGGTAGATCGAGACAGCTGCTGGCGGCGCACTGGGGAGGGCGATGTGGAGAGCTCTTTCTTCTCTGGAGATGGTTTGGACTCACTTTTAGCAGGAGACTTCTCCTGTTCACTGTTAGAACCATCAGGAGCAGAGGGGGCTGCAGATATCGAAGCAGACGCTCCGTCTTCCTGTGCACTCGGCTGCCTGGGCTCCTCTTTGTTCTGGCTGCTGTCCACAGGTTTCTCTTGAAGCTTTTCTGAAGTGTTATCAGTTTGAGAACTGGAAGCAGCGGCACCAGACATTAATTTCAAGACAGCTGCAAAATTAAAAGACATCAAATAAAGTTAAAAAAAACATAAAACCAATACAAAAGATTCATTTCTAGTCTAAGCACCATCCAGACCCACAGATGAACCTGGAACATCTCAGCAGGTCTCGTAAAACAACACCAACACTGCTGAATAAAAAGAACCTAATGAAGACACCATGACTCTCTCTGTGGGCGTCTTTTTACAAAATATTTTTAGACGGGGAGCCCCAGTCCCTTCAGTCAACAGAGGGTCTGTCAACTGCCAAGTGCTGCTCACCAGGAGCCAAAACTGCAGACTCTGCCAACACTAAACAAACCATTTATCTCCCACATTTAAGATGGGTGTCACTGAAAAGGGGAACCCATAGTCTGATTTAAGTATCAGAACTAATATGACGACTTAAAGTGTTAAAAAATACAAAGAACACTGAGAAAACATCACACAGTCAAGCAGAATAAACGTTATTCTGAGGTCAGATGTTTGATGGACTTCTGACTGACACATGACCCATGAGTAAGGCTGGGCGATATCGATATTTAAAATATATCGATACTTTTTAAACACGAACTGGATTCTGACATATCGTATATATTAGGGATGTAACAATAACCGAAATATCGTGATATCATATCGTCAGAGTGAACACAATAATATCGTGGACCATCACAATATATCGAATTACAAGTCTGTCTTTTTTTTTTTTAGCTATTGCTGCACCATAACTCTTAATTTAAGCAGAGGGAACTACATAGACCATGATCCTTTGCTCCTTTCAGTGCAGACGACAAGAAGAAATAACAGTTCTAACACTTTTAAGGCTTAGTTCTTTGGATTAAGTTTTGTCAAGGCATTTGAAGAAGAAAAAGTAGAATATTCACAGTTTTACATCCACAATGTATCACAATAAATATCCTAACGTGAGATGTATATTGTGAAAATATTGTACAAAGAGATTTGGATATTGTTACACCTCTAATCGTGTGTGAAGAATCCACGGCGAGGAGAAAATTCAGTTTGTCGACCGGACAAAAGATTCACTTGGTTGAAGACGTTTCGCGGCTCATCCAAGCTGCTGAAAGAACCGAAGAAGCAGCTTGGATGAGCCGCGAAACATCTTCAACCAAATGAATCTTTTTTTGTCCAGTCGACAAACTGAATTTTCTCCTCGCCATCTCTAATCGTGAGCCTCCCCATCGTATCGCGAACTTTCCCACGATATCGCAATAAATATCGTACCAGGAGGATCATACCGTGACGTTATCGTATCGTGAGACTTGGATATCGTCACACCTCTAGTATATATCGATATAATCATAATATTTAATTCTAATTTCGCTGATTGGCTCGTTTGCCTTCTGTCTCACTCCCTCCTCACTTCTGCCCTCAAAGCTGCATTAAACACTTTATCATCTCAAACAGACTGATGTGGCTCTAGTCTGGTTATGTTTATATGTTGTAAAGTTTATTTATGCAGAAGATTTAAAGGAATAATCTGCTGCAGTGTGGTGTTGTAAGGTGCAATAGTGTTTGGAAATGTTGGGTTTGAGCTGCAGTGTAGGGCTGTGCAAAAATATTGAAATATCGATATATCGTATCGTTTAATGTGATGATACAGTAACGATATCGTGGGCTGCTGTATCGATATATCGCGTATTGAGTATTTTTGGTGTATTTTACTAAATTATTTTGTTCCAGCTACAGTTTTGTTGCTTGTTTAGTGGAAGGAAACTCATTCACACAGTAAAAAGGTTTGTTAAAATGAAAATGAAGAACATTTGACTTTATTTGAGTCGACTCCACCAGTGGAATAAGTGTTTTTCTAAATTCAAGCGACATTCGATTTCATTTCTTATTTTAAGGGTTGTTGTTTTTCTTTTTTTAAGTGTAGCAAGTTGTATCTTCAGATTTTAAGTACAAAAAAACATATTCCGCTGATGGATAATTTAACTTGTCAAGTGGAATTTACTCAAATTATGGTAAAATTTTCTTAATTCAAGTCATCTTAACTTGGCTAGATTTTATTTTTTTTCAGTGAATGCGACACATTTGACATTTTCACTGTTTTGAGGATTAAAATGTTTTTGTTTCATATTCACTCTGCACAAGAAGTGGTTTAACAAAGACTTTTAGAGTCACAGCCACGATTTAGCCTTTATTTTTATTGAACTGTATCGAATCGGTTTGAAATATATCGTATTGAATTGAAAGTGCACTGTATCGAGATATGTATCGTATCGTGGCCTAGGTATCGAGGTATGTATCGTATCGGCAACTCCTTAATGATACCAGCCCTACTGCAGTGGATTGTGGGAAACCCCAGAGCTCCTCCCCAGGTTTGACTAGCCCAAATTTAAGACTATAAGACCTTTTTAAGACCACTTAAATGAAAATTAAGACAAAAATTGCACCCATTATGCAGGCGAAAACCAAGAGATCAAATCCTAATAAAGACCATGACTCACTGCTTTAAATAACAAAAAATACTGTTATTATAAGATCTCATTCAGAACTCATTTACAGTCGTGTGCGTCACTTCTAACGAGACTAAATATTGTTTGTGCATAATCCAAATTAGACGTTCATTCACATTACGTGATTTGACGTAGTTTTTTTGTTTAACTTTAACAAAAAAATGGCCTAATGAAATTTAAGACATTTGAGGAAAAAAATAAGACTTGGACAATATAATTTGAGACTTTTTAAGACCTTAATTTAGGAACATGAAATTTAAGACCCTTTTAAGACTTTTAAAGACCCTGAATATGGAACCTCCTGAGCTTCCTCTGCTGAAGGAGCTCACGGTTCTGGTTCTCGTACGTTTACAGAGTTACTGCAAAAGATGAGCTTGAGTTGAGTTATGTTGTTTTATTTTTGAATTCCTTTATTTTACACTTATATTATTATTTTAGTTTTTTTTTTTAATGGAGCTGAAGCCTTTTGCTCCTACATGAACTTTCTGCCTCTTCGATAAAAAAAGACTTTGTGGAATTTGGTGTATTTGTTTTTGCTGTAGTTTTGGCGAAGTTATTTTCCTGTACAGACATCGAGATAGATTTTTCGCTCCATATCGCCCAGCCCTACCCATGAGCTCCTCACAGAAATGAACAAACCTGACTCGACTGCTCTGTCTGAGAAGTCTGTGTGGGACCAGATGTAAATCCAACACATTCAACCCTCTCTGTTCCAAACATGAGCAAAAAAGTCCTCACACTTACCCTCTGGCTTTTCACCGTTGAGCTCCTCTTCTTTTGGAGCAGCCTGCGCTTTCCTTTTGACAGGAGAGGGCGACGCGGAGCGAGCCGGAGAGCTGCCGTCGGACTGCGCGTCGCTGGATTTGGACCTGGATCTCGAGACGTTCCGTTTCTTTTTGGGCGTTTTGGATTTCCTCTTGGCCGGAGGCGAGCGTGACCTTGTTCGGTGCTTTCGGACTGGGCTCCTGTTTCTTCTCGTGGGGGTGCGCGAGCGTTTCCTGGCTGGTGAGCGTGATTTGGACCTCCTGCGTGGAGATTTGCGGAGACTTCTGGATCTTGAGCGATGGCTGCGTTTTGTAACAGAGCGTGATCTAGACCTCCTGGCCCTGTGTGTGGAGCGAGACCTCCTGGACCTCGGGGGCGGCGACCTGCGATGCCGGGAGATGGATCTTGATCGTCTACCACTGGCTCTTCTGTCCGGTGAGCGCGTCCTGGACCTACGGGCTCCACGCCGAGATCTGGAGACGGATCTTCGGAGCCTTGTGACTGAGCGCGAGCGTGAGCGGCGACCTGCTGCGCCGCGTTTAGGCGTACGACTCCGAGATCTCTTCGCTCTGCCCCGAGACCTGGACCTCTGACTTCTCCTGGGGGAACGTGAGGACGACCTTCGACTGCTGCGCTTGGGAGATCTGACCTTCTCCTTTTTGGGCGAAGGGGAACTTCTGCGGCGCTTGGGAGACACCGAGGTCCGTTTGGGCCTGGGAGACTTGGACACTTTCTTCTTGGGTGTGATGGAACGGGAGCTTGAGCGGGAGTGTGAAAGGTCTCTCTTCAGTGGTTTAGGAGAAGGAGATGGTCTGCTTTTAGGGGGACTTTTAGGAGATGGAGAACGAGATCGAGAAATATTTTCAGACATTTCCTTTAAAGGTGGAGAAGGGCTTTTTGGCTGATCATCAATCTTTTTTTCATCTATATTAGACTGTTTTAAACTCTGACAATTGGATGGAGGTTGCTCCTCACAAACCTCAGATTTCTTGACATCTAAGCTGGTGGGCGGGGTTGGAGACCTTTCGGTTTTGCATTCAGGGAGGATTTGCTGCTGATTGTCCTGTGGTTTCTGACATTTGTTATCCCTGAGCGCAGAACCTTCCTGTTTGGGGATGATGTCTGGAAGAGCATGGGAATGGGTGAACGATCCCTCTCCAGGGCAGCTCTTCTCCTTCGTCAGCTCAGACGTGGGTTTAAAGTCCTCACCCTCCACAGTGGACACAAACCCGACTTCTGCTTGTGTTCCGTTGGTGCTGCCGTCCTTTGGCACAGGAGGAGAGAGGGTCTTGTCTGAGATCTCCTCTTTGAGCACCTCGGTGAGCTCAGACTTTGCCGTTAGTACGGGGACGTCTTTCTCAGCTTCCTCCTGGCTGTTCTCCTTGCTCACCGGTTCTGGAAGGTCTAGGCAGACTTTAGTATCTTCGGGTTCCTTCGCCCCTTCGTCCTCGGAGTCTGAGCCTGACGCTGAACTGCTTTCAGAAGGAGAACAAGAGGTTGACTTTTTCTCCTGCTTTTCATCCTTCTTTCGTTTTTTCTTTTTCTTTTTCCCTGCATGTTTTTTGTGCTTTTTGGATTTGGAGTCTGCTTCAGCTCGATCTATGAAGACAGTAATATTGTTAAAGTCTACATTTATTTTTTTTAAAAGCTGCAAAAATATAGAAATTACCTGAAGAGGCTGTTTTTTTGCTGCCCCCCTTTGACCCCACCTGGTCTCCTGCTCCTGCAGCAGCAGCGAGCCGCGCACTGAAACGTAACATACAGGTATTTCATTTGTTTAAAATATCAAACTAAACTGAGAAAAACAAACACGTTTCATCATATCTCAGTGTTATTCATAACAACTTACTGTCCTGATAAGTGTGTGTGTGTGTGTGTATGATGATGATAACGGTGGTTTGAGGGGCCGATGACGCAGATTGGTGGCCTCACTTCCATCAGTCTGTCCCAGGGCAGTTGTGGCTATGATAGAATTTTTCCACCACCGAGTGTAAAGTGAATGAATAATGAGGCAGTGTAGCTCTTTCAGAGGCTTTGAGGAGCCTGTGTAGTAGAGATGGGCATGATTATTCGATTAATCGATAATTGATCATTAAGAATTTCGTCGATTACGTTCATTTTTAATCGACAAACTGAATGTATGTTGTTGTGTGTCGCGTAGGGTGACCAAACGTCTGCTTTTCCCCGGACATGTCCATTTTCCACATCCTGTTCTGGGCGTCCGGGTTTTTGTTTTTTTATAAAGTGATGCAAATGTTCAGGTTTTCATTTCTGTTCATTGGGACATTAAACTGATCGTCTCTCGTGGCGTCTGTGACTCAGAAGGAGCGAGACACAAACAGTGGGTCAGTCTGTAACACGCCAAAGTACAAATGTGGATTTAACGATGATTTGTACAAGAAATTCTCCACTTTCCGTTCCGGTCGAGACAAGTGTGAGTCCATGTGCACAGTGAAGCAGCACATGTGTGTCGGTGTCCAGTGTGTCAGGGACGTCAAAGCACCAGGACACAGAAAAACATGAACAAGTTTTTCCAGGTGAGAGTCGCTCAATGTGGATGACGAGGCCCCGCCCCCCTCCCCCCGTACGCTGTCCTGGGTTTGACAAACACAAATCTGGTCACACTGACCTGTATTCACCTGAGTCATGTCTTTTAATCCAACACAAGTTGAACCACATCAGCGACACAAGAGCTGGAGTTTTATCTTCACTTAGTTTATGTAAATTAGTGATGTGGTTTTAAGTTTTGTTTCTGTGAGATTTGAACAAAACTGAATTAAACACATTATAATGTCAAACAGCTGATGTGGATCTAGAGTCGTTACGTTTATATGTCGTAAAGTTGAATTTATTTATGCAGATTAGTGCAGATTAGGGACGGGCATTCGATGAAATTTTCTTAATCGATCGTCGGAAGAATTAACGATCGATTATCGATTAATCATTAATGTTTTTTATATTAAAATGATCATCATTATTATTTCTATCTGCACTAATCTGCATCAATAAATTCAACTTTACGACATATAAACATAACGACTCTAGATCCACATCAGCTGTTTGACATTATAATGTGTTTTAATTCAGTTTTGTTCAAATCTCACAGAAACAAAACTTAAAACCACATCACTAATTTACATAAACTAAGTGAAGATAAAACTCCAGCTCTTGTGTCGCTGATGTGGTTCAACTTGTGTTGGATTAAAAGACATGACTCAGGTGAATACAGGTCAGTGTGACCAGATTTGTGTTTGTCAAAACCAGGACAGCGTACGGGGGGAGGGGGGGCGGGGCCTCGTCATCCACATTGAGCGACTCTCACCTGGAAAAACTTGTTCATGTTTTTCTGTGTCCTGGTGCTTTGACGTCCCTGACACACTGGACACCGACACATATGTGCTGCTTCACTGTGCACATGGACTCACACTTGTCTCGACCGGAACGGAAAGTGGAGAATTTCTTGTACAAATCCTGGTTAAATCCACATTTGTGCTTCGGTTCGTTACAGACTGACCCACTGTTTGTGTCTCGCTCCTTCTGATGCAGAGACACATGTACACACCTGTTTGGTCACGACACACAAACATACATTCAGTTTGTCCAGTAAAATCAACGGAATCGATGAAATTCTTAATGATCAATTATCGACTAATCGATTAATCATGCCCATCCCTAGTGCAGATAGTAATAACAATGATGATAATTTTAATATAAAAACGTTAATGATTAATCGATAATTGATCGTTAATTCTCCAAACGACTGATTAAGAAAATTTCATCGAATGCCCGTCCCTACTGTGTGGCCAATTCCAAGTGTAGATATTATTCAGCATTAGTCGACTCGTGATCATTCGGACTCGTTGTTGCCGCCTGAACGGTCACGGTGCTTGAGTTTCTCACCTGGCCCGTGTCGTCCGCACTGGTCTCTGAGGTGGAGTCTCCTTTTCTGAATCGGCAGACTCGGAGCTGCTTTCCTTCTCATCCTTCCTCCTCCTCTTCTTCTTCTTACTTTTGTGTTTTCTGTGCTTTTTGTTTTTCTTGTGTGGCAGCTCCTCCACTTTAGAATCGCCCTTTTCAGGAGACTCTTCCTCTCCTACGCCACGGAAAAGCACCGCGTTAATAAAGTGCTACACACATAAAACACTGTTGACTGGAGGTGTGTTTTCTGAATAATGAACTGTGCATTTGTTACTTCACATCGTGTTATGTTTTATTTCTCACCTGACAGAATCTCTGCACTTTCCATGGCAGCGTCTCAGTCCCAGGGCCTTTTGTTTCCGAGCAAACCCAACGCCGAACTGAGGAAAAACAACAAGCAAGAATATGAAAATCAACTCATCACTGAATTACACAAACCTGATGTTCTTCATGTGGCTGACAATGAAATAATAAAACTATATCACAAGTGGAGCTGGGATCATTAAGAAGTTGTCTATAGATACATATCTCAATACAGTGAGTTTTCAATTCAACACGATACATTTCAAAACGATTTGAAATGGTTCAATAAAAAATAAAGAGTAAATCGTGGCTGTGATACTAAAAGTCTTTGTTAATCCCATTCCTTTGAACACCACGTCAAACACATCACCAAAACCGCCTTTTATCACCTCCGCCCATCCCTGGTCACATTTTTCTATAGCGCTTTTCCACCTTCAAGGCTCAAAGCGCTTTACAACAAGGAACCACTCACACATTCACACACACATTCACACACCAGTGTACACAGACACTGTGGGCAAGGTGGGTTAAGTGTCTTGCCCAAGGACACAACAGCAGCATTCATCTGTGGGAGCTGGAATCACACCAGCCAACCTGTGGGTCAGTGGATCTGACCCTCAACCTGTGATGTTTATGTCGAGAGATGGAATCAAACCAATCAGCTGAAGCCAACCTCCGGTCTCCCCCACACAGGACGAAACATAAGACCTGGGGGACAGGACCTTCACCGCTGCTGCTCTCACCCTCTGGAACTCCCTCCCCAAACACATCAGAGACTCATCCACACTCCCCATGGTTAAAAAAGCCCTGAAACACATCTCTTTAAAACAAACTTTCATTAACTGTCTTTTTCTCTTGTTTGTATTGTTTGTTTTCTCATGTAAAGTGTCTTTGTGTATCTTGAAAAGCTCTATACAAGTGTTATGTGTTATTAGTCCCGAGCGCCATGAGTGGCGTAGGGACTATTGTTATTGTTCAGCAGTGCGCTGTGGGAACACAGCGTATGTAAACAGAGCGCGAAGCACTCTCCCCTTTCCAAACACACACTCACACGTCGGTGACTGGTGCCCGCTGACATGGCACGCTGGCATTGCCCGTGGGCCGCGACAGCGACCTAATTGTTATTGTTCACCCCAAAACGTAAGGCGCGTTTCGTGCACGATGTGAAGTGCGCCCGCGAAAACAGAGAGCGAAGCGCTCTCCCCTTATCAAACACTCAGTGCCACTCAATAGTGACACTCAAGGCATCCAATAATACAGACTGGCATTGCCCATTGCATACTTGTAATCGTTAACTCTCGTAAACTCCAATAACGTGCACTGGGTATGTGACTACTCGAACAGGTCAATGAACCGCACGGGTGTGTTACTGGACGCGAGCACTTTCCAATAACATATATATATATATATATATATATATATTGTTATTGTTACTCAAATATCGATATATCGTCCAGCCTGGACACCTGGACGATATATCGATATTTGAGTATTTTTACACTGCCCTAATCCCAAGTGTAAACCTCTGCCAGCTTTTTGCTCCTCTGTCCTCTGGACTTTATTCTCACTTTAAGCACAAACACTGGCAGGTTTCCTAACGCTCTGGGGAAGTGCACGACCGGACGCACAACTTTTCTGTGCGTGGGACTGACGTTGTCGATAAAAACACTTTATTTATTGGTTATTTTCATAAACGCTCAGCGGTGCCAAACCGTCTGTGGTGTTTATTTGCAGACATTATTCGGTGGACACAGTTGAGTTGGTTGTGTGCGGCTCGGGGCTGTAAACAGACACTTGTCCGCGGACAGTGGAGTGTTGGTCCGGGCCTGCTGTTGTGTGTAGCCTTCACTCTCTGTGTCTCTGTGTCTGTTTGTGTCTCTGTTTTCACTCGACTGTTTAACACTTTACACTTATGCTCCCAGACTCCAGCTTTACTCCTTAATACACGAAACAGTCACAAACTCAAACAGAACATCGCGGGGCCAAACGTTTGTCGAGTTCATTCAACAGTTGAGTTGAGCGCAGCTAAACGTGCTGCGGAGCTAACACACACACGTCCGCGGCGTCTCCCGCGCTCACACACGCTTCATGTACGTACCCACAAAGTGCCCAGAATGTGCCCACGCCGCAGCGAACCGCACCGAACCGGACCCGCCGCGACTCCGGCCGCTCGAACTCGTCCTCGCACTGCGCACACGCCGAGTCGCTCACGTTAGCCTCCAGCTAACGCGTCCGCCATGATTCAGAAAGAGCATCCCACAATGCCCCGCGGGACGGACCGGTCTCCACGGCAACGCGCGCACGAGCCAAACCGCGTTCATTCACCGAAAACAATTTTTTTCCCCAATATTTTTATTAATTTTCAGACAAAAAAATGTTCACAAGAACAACTGACCACGTTAGCATAAGTCAACATATAACCGAAAAATAAGTAAATAAATAAATAAATAAATAATACTTGGACAATACAATTTATCAGTCGCAGGTAAGTCAGTGATTCATATTCAGTGACGATGTGAGCTTTAAAAAGGAAAAATGGATAGAGAGAAATAAATAAATAAATAGATAAATAAAATAAAAATAAATAGATAAATAAATAGATAAAAAAACAATAATAAATTCATTGATACAAAATAAAATAAAGTAAAATAGGTAAATAAATTTAAAAGTATGTAAATAAAGAAATAAATAGATAAATAAATAAAAATCAAATATAAATTAATCAATTAAAAATAAAATAAAGTAAAATAGGTAAATAAAAAATAAATAAATAATAACAACAACAATAATAATGAAAATAAATACAAATTAAGTATTATTATTGTTATCATCACTACCACCAGTGCCCAACAATATTTCTCTTTTTTAAATAAATCACTTCAGGCGTATGAGTTTAGCAAAAACATTAACATCAGTTCAAATAAATATAACATCATAAATTAGTAGAATCTTTAAAAAAAAAAAAAAACCTAACTTTCTATCAACGCCATAGAAATACATTTCTGTGTATCAGCGCTAATTTTGTTTTATAATACATTTATATTACAAAATCCACATTTAAAATAATAATCACGTGTTCAAGTATTTTCAAAAAACCGGAAGTGAACCCGGAACAGCGGAAGTGCGCGTCAGACGGAGCTTAAAGTCGAGCGTTTTTTTTTTTTTTTTTTTTTTTGTAAATTCAGGAAAGTTTTATAAATCCATGGCCGAATTACGCCAAATATGAAGAAAAGATTCAACATCAACCTGGACGACAGCGCGTTCACCAAAGAAAGAAGCCCGGTGCGTCCTCCGTGCGTCACGAATTACGTGATTTTCTGTTTTAATGTTGTTTTGTTTTTTGTTTTGTTTCATTCACACGTTTCTTCACATTCAGCACGAGTTCTTCTCTCAAACAGAAAACACTCCTCATAATAATAATAATAATAATACAGGAAATTCTCCTCTGTGCGTTTAAACTTCACTAGAATCATTTGGATCATTTATTTTTTTATGTATAAAGTTCATAATCACGTGCTCCCTCAAACCCAGAGAGGATATAATTTGTATAATTTGAGAGGAACCAGAATATATTTATATAAATATAAAAAAAAAAATAAGGACAGGATTAACACAAAAAGTACCGGTAGATGTTTATCAGTTAGAGGAGCAGATCTGTGGAATAATCTGGATGAAGGTTAAAAGGATCAACATCAGAATCAATAAAGACATTTTTAAAAAATAATAAATTCTATAGAGAAATACAGAGCACTAGAATGATTTAAAAAAATATTTTTACTACACAATTTAGTCCTGGTTTAGACCTGACCGGGTTTAGACCGCGTTTGGACCTGGTTTAGTCCTGATTTTAGTCTTGGTTTAGTCCTGCTTTAGTCCTGGGTTAGACTTGATTTTAGTCTTGGTTTAGACCAGATTTGGATCTGGTTTAGTCCTCATTTTAGTCCTGATTTTAGTCTTGGTTTAGACCTGGTCTAGTCCTGGTTTTAGTCCTGATTTTAGTCTTGGTTTAGACCTGGTTTAGTCCCGGTTTAGACCACGTTTATACCAGGTTTGGACCTGGTTTAGACCTGGTTTGGATCGTGTTTGAACCTGGTTTGGACCTGGTTTAGTCCTGATTTTAGTTTTGGTTTAGTCCTGGTTTAGTCCTGGTTTAGACCTGGTTTGGACCTGGTTTAGTCCTGATTTTAGTCCTGGTTTAGACCGGGTTTAGACCTGGTTTAATCCTGGTTTAGACCTGGTTTTAGTCATGATTTTAGATCTGGTTTCAACCTGGTTTGGACCTGGTTTAATCCTAGGTTTAGTCCTGATTTTAGTCTTGGTTTAGTCCTGATTTAGTCCTGGTTTTAATCCTGGTTTATTATTATTCTGATTCTGTTTCAGCCAAAGTCACACTTCCGGTCGTCCTCAAACCCAGACGACGACGTCAGCAGCAGCAGCAGCAGCGTCGTCCCCACGGTCCAGCCTCTGTCCTACGCCGAGTATGTGGTCCAACAGAAGAACATCTCCAACATCTCCACAGACGGACCCTCCTCCTCCAAACTGCCCAGGCTCGGGGACTCCTCTGAGGCCCACAGCTCCAGAAGTTCTCCCCAAAAAGGCGTCGAGACGCCGGAGGCCCGAGCCGAGTCCGCGGACCAGCCCGAGGACGACGGAGCCCACGAGTCCGGCTCAGTCCAGAGTCTGGGCCCAAAGCCGGTCGGGTCTGGGAGCAGTATTATCGTCAGTCCGCGCCAGGTGACTTCAGATTTGTGAAGAGTCGTTTCCCTCCTGCTGTTAAAGACGCACTGTGTAACTTTTCTGGTGGAGGGTGAATGTGAGGCTCCCCTTAGAGTAGGACCTGGTTTTAGTCCTGGTTTAGACCAAGATTTAGACCAAGATTTAGACCAAGATTTAGACCAAGATTTAGACCTGGTTTAGACCTGATTTTAGTCCTGGTCTAGACCTAGATTTAGACCTGGTTTAGACTTGGTTTAGATCTAGATTTAGACCTGCTTTAGACCTAGATTTAGACCTGGTTTAGATCTGGTTTAGACCTAGACTTAGACTTAGACCTGGTTTAGACCTAGATTTAGGCCTGGTTTAGACCTGGTTTAGACCTGGTTTAGACCTAGATTTAGACCTGGTTTAGACCTAGACTTAGACCTGGTTTAGACCTGATTTTAGTCCTAGGTGTACTTCTGGTTTATTTCTGGTTTAGACCTGGGTTTCGTCCTAGGTTTAGTCTTGGTTTAGACCTGATTTTAGTCCTGGTCTAGACCTAGATTTAGACCTGGTTTAGACTTGGTTTAGATCTAGATTTAGACCTGCTTTAGACCTAGATTTAGACCTGGTTTAGATCTGGTTTAGACCTAGACTTAGACCCTGGGTTAGACCTAGATTTAGACCTGGTTTAGGCCTGGTTTAGACCTGGTTTAGACCTGATTTTTGTCCTAGGTCTACTTCTGGTTTATTTCTGGTTTAGACTTGGTTTTAGTCCTAATTTTAGTCCTGGTTTAGACCTGGGTTTCGTCCTAGGTTTAGACCTGGTTTTAGTTCTGGTTTTAGTCCTGGTTCAGTTCATTATCTGTTTTTTTCATTTTGGTTTTGGACACAAATAATGAAGAAAATTGTTTTTTTTTTTTTTTTTTTTTTTATGTTTCCTTCTTTTTGGTTTTATTTTGCTAAAGAAATGAACGAATCACACACAGATTCTTTAGTACTTAGTTTGTGTCTATATAAATGATTTGTTTTTGTGAGAACGTAGAATAATAAAATCGTAAATGTTCCAGGGCTGTTTCATGGTTTTGTTGTATTTGTCAGAGAGGAAATCCCATCCTGAAGTACGTGCGAAGTGTCCCCTGGGAGTTTGGAGAAGTGGTTCCAGACTACGTCCTGGGCCAGACCACCTGCGCCCTCTTCCTCAGGTCAGTTCATTTAAACATTTATACTTTTTAATTAATTATAAACTCTCAAATAGTGAAAAATAACACTTAACTCTGAACATTTGTCTAAAGTACAATCGGCAAACAATAAATGGAATATAGGAAAAAAAGATTATTTCTGAAGTTAATTAATATCATATTTTATCTTCATCGATTATCAAAATTTTCAGATTTCTTAGATATATACAAACATGGACTTAAATTCATTTGGTGTCTGATCCAGATCATAACCACTGTCACTACTCGCCCAAACTTAACCAAAACTCTAATCTTAACCCAAATCTGAACTTTAAACCATGTTATTGATCGAATAATAAAGGATTGACTTTTATTTATTTACTTATTGACCTTTATTTATTACAAATCCCGCTGAGATTAAGGCTACGTTCAGTCTGCAGCCTGAAGTCACCTAAATCTCATTTTTGGCCCCTGGTTAGAGACTAAAGACTCACAAACGAAGCGGCCGTGGACGTGTAACCTGTCCATTTTACCAAGAACTGGACCGGATTTTGGGAGACAAGCCCAGAGTTTAGGCGACTTCTGTAAACACACTTTTGAGACACTTAAGGTTCGTTCACACCAAAGCGTCAAAGTGTCCAGTTTCTATGTAAAGTCGATGTGGACGCGCGACTAGAGCGTCCTGCGTTTTTGCGGCGAGTCTTGAGCGTTTTGGCGTCGACGCTCTAGACGCGCGTCCAAGGCGTCAGCGTCAAGAAGTTGAAAATGCTGAACTTTTCGCGTCAGACGCACCGCGTCAACCAATCAGGGACGAGTATCCAGAGACGCAGCGACGTTATTATCAGGAAGAAAAACCCCAGAACCAGAACCACAAACATGAACGGAACATAAATATATACACCACAAACACCAAGACGATCACCAGGACTAAACCAGGACCGGACCAGGACTAAACCGAAACTAAACAAGGACTAGACTGAGACCAGACCAGGACTAAACCAGGACTAGACCAAAACTAAACAAGGACTAGACCGGGACTAGACCGGGACTAAACAAGGACCAGACCGGGACTAGACCGGGACTAAACCAGGACTGATCCAGTGTCATTAGTGGAGTATAAATATAAACTCGCTCCAGTCGTCGAGTCGATTTCCTCCGCTGATGTTTTATGTCATAAAAACACTAAAGTCTCTCAGTCTGGTCTGACATTGTTTCGGGAAAAGTCCAGGACCGGGCTCTTGTTTCCAGGGCAACGGACGCGCGTCAAGTATTTTTGTCCCGTTTGTCCACGGCGTCAAAGACACGAGCGTCGGGGGCGTCTGAACTCAAATACAAAGGCTCCAAATAGAGACGTGAAGGTGTTTTTTGACGCTTTGGTGTGAACGAACCTTTATGGGGCGTTTTAAGTTCATACATACAAGTCGCAAAAAAACAGAATTGAACCCTACAGTCTGAACGGAGCCTAAGAATCTCTTTTTCCGGGGAGTCCTGACCTCACCGATCCTACTTTACGTGTTTTTATTGTATGTTTACGTCATGAGGACCTGACTTTATCCTCATAAGGGCAGGTCCTCATAAAGTCAGTGTGTGTTTAGTCGCCACAGTGTGATAAATACAAATCCACAGACTAAATCTAATTAGCAAAAGAAAAATTCAAACCTGTCAACTGGACAAAGGTTTTTCTTTTGCTTTGGATCATACCTGAACAACATGATTGCCATATTTTTCGGACTATAAGTCGCACCAGCCAAAAAATTGCATAATGTAAAAGAAAAAACACATAAGTTGTAAGTTTCCTTTTGCGGCTTCAGTGAGAAAATGTTAATATGTAAGACGCACCTGAGTATAAATTGCAGGAAACACCCAAACCATGAAAAAAAGTGCCACTTATCGTCTGAAAACCTGGACTAGAACAGGACCAAACCAAGTCTACATCAGGACTGAACTGGGACCAAACCGGACCAAACCGGGCCCGAGTGACCTGAGCAGTGTTTTGTGTTGACTGTGCAGTCTGAGATATCACAACCTGAACCCCAACTACATCCACGAGCGTCTCAAACAGCTCGGCTCCACGTTCGTCCTGAGGGTGCTGCTGCTGCAGGTGGACGTGGTGAGTGCAAATAAACACGCACACGATCGTGATCACGCACACAAACATGAACACGAAAACGCACACGAACAACCACAAAAACAACCACACGCACACAAACATGAACACGATCATGAACATGAACATGAAAACGCACACGAACATGAACACGCACACAAACGTGAAGACGAACTCGATGACGCTCACAAACACAAACGCACACATGAACATGAAAACGCACACGAACGCGCACATGAACACGAACATGAAAACGCACACGAACATGATCACGCACACAAACACAAACGCGCACATGAACACGAAAACGCACACGAACACACACACAAACAACCACACGCACATGAACATGCACACAAACGCGCACACGAACACACAAGAACACGCACACAAACAACCACATGCACATGAACACGCACACGAACACACACACGATCATGATCACACACACAAACATGACCACGAACTCGATCACGCTCACAAACACGAACGCGCACACGAAAACGCACATGAGCACACACACAAACACACTCACAAACACACACACACTTCATTCATAATTCAAAAATCATATAAACTGTAAAAATCTAAATTATATTTGCTACTTTTTTGGTTTAAAAACTTGAAATGTCTTGAAGCTCAAAGCAGACGAAGTTAGACTTGACTTGGACTTATGGGGCTCAGTGACTCGAGACTCGACTTGGACTTGACTGTATTTGACTTGGGACTTGACTCGGACTTGAGGTGAAAGACTTGAGACTTGCAAAACGACGACTTGGTGCCTCCTCTGTTGACTATACATTTATCATATCGGTCAATATCGATACAAGAACCGATATATTGCCCTTCAATAAATGCTGTTTACATTTTTAACTACATGTAATTATATAGTAAGTATTTTTTTCAATATAAAAGCAGAGAATATTTGAGTATATACATAAAGTACATGGAGAATATACATAAAGTACATGGAGTATATAAAGAGTTTGGGGTTTCCGGGCTTTTCTCTGTTCTGTTCTTCATGTTTGTTTGTTTGTCCTCAGAAAGACCCTCACCACGCGCTGAAGGAGCTGGCCAGGATCTGCATCATGGCCGACTGCACCCTGGTCCTGGCCTGGAGGTGAGCGCCGCCTTCTGCGTCACACTCCTGCTTTTTCACGTCTGCGCTCTTCGCTTTTCGCCCTTCGCTCTTCGCTCTGCATCTGCGCTTGACGCTTCAGTGGGAATCTGCAAACACACAACAACAGTCAAACAATCAAACATTTAGACACACATTTTCATGTTTCTGCTTTATTTACATGATTATTTACACTGTGGATTCTGGAGTATTATCTGTGACATAAATCATGTTGTAGGGAGTATTATCTGTGACATAAATAATGTTGTAGGGAGTATTATCTGTGACATAAATAATGTTGTAGGGAGTATTATCTGTGACATAAATAATGTTGTAGGGAGTATTATCTGTGACATAAGTACAGTTGTAGGGAGTATTATCTGTGACATAAGTACAGTTGTAGGGAGTATTATCTGTTCCATACGGTTGTATTTGGCATTATTTCTCTGTGTCAGAGGAGATTAGGGTTGGTACTTTGCGTTGACGTCACTCTGGGGGTGTTCTACCTGTAGCTCTATGGTGAAATGTTTAGCAGTGATGCAAACACCGTCAGATACGAGTAGAATGAAAACATGTTGTTTTTAAACTCATGAAAACATAGGAAGTGGATTTAAACGTCACATTTTCACGTTCCTGTGATCATGTGATCATGTGATCATGTGATCATGTGATCATGTGATCATGTGTTCATGGTCCTGTTCAGGAGTTTGGTTTTTCTCACCTGTTGTTGTTCCAGTCGAGTCTTTCTGGTAAAACTGTTAAAATCCAGATCAGATGAAAGTCTAGTGGAGCTCCTGACAGAGTAGTGCCTTCAATTATCGTCACACTCCCTGGGGAATGTTGACGACATCAACTGCAAAACACTTTTCTTGACGTGTGTTTTCTGTGCTCAGTCCAGAAGAAGCAGGACGGTACCTGGAAACCTACAAGTCCTATGAGAAGAAGCCTGCTGACCTGCTGAAGGAGCAAGTGGAGAAGAACTACCTCTCCAAGGTCTGTGTGAAGCAGGGGGCCTCGTGCTGCAGGTTTCCCTCAGAACATGTTCAGAACTTCCACTTTAAGAAGAACTAAGGCGTTTTTCAGCAGACAACTTCCTTAAAGAGCATTATTACAGATTATTATGCTAAATCTACTTTTTGGAGATTTCTATCATGTTCTAAAGTTCCCTCATCAAAAACATCCCTGAAGAGGTTTGAGATGTCCTCCATGCATGTTTGAGTAATCTAGCGATCTGTCCTTGGCTCTGTTGAAACCCTCCTTATGGTTAGCAGTAAGACTCTGTACGAGGCTCCGCCCACAAGCCTACGTCACCCAAACACGACAATTCTCCAGAAATACACAAAAACATGACACAAAACTGTCCACAGCAGCCGGACAAACCTGATGTGAGGCAGGAGAGTTTAGTGTTTTCACAAGAGTAAAGAAACACTGATGTAAACATGTGATGAGTTCATATTCCACAGATCAGACATGTCAAACTCAGGCCCGGGGGCCAAATTTGGCCCACAATCTAATTATATTTGTCCCACGAGATCATATCAAATCTGTATTAGAGCTGCTCACCAGCTACAGAGGCTTTAGAGACATTATTTAAAATGTTATTATTTTATTAAATTATATTATTATATTATGTTCTGAATTCAATTTTTAAGCAAAACTATTATTAAACAATTATTTGAATTAAAAAAGGTTTAATATTACATTTCTCCAAAGATGAGAAAACATGCAGATGTTGTTGAAAATTTTCAATTAATATTTAATTTGACCCACGACTTAGTCCCAGTTTTTAATTTTGGCCTCTGTGAGTTTGAGTTTGACTCTCCTGCTGTAGTTGTCAGATCCTTGTGTTTAAACGAGCTCACGTGACCTTGTGTTTGTGTGAAGGTCACAGACTGTATGACCACAGTCAAGTCCATCAATAAAACCGACGCCCTCACGCTGCTCTCCACCTTCTCTGTAAGTGTCCAACATCTTTCTTCTACCAAAACCAAACACACGTTTCCTTTGATTAAAGCTGAGTTATGTATTTTTCATGTGAAGGCTCAGTCTTATCTCCATGGTAACATGATTGTTTCACTTGGAATATTCCACAGTGTGGCATTAAACACGTCTGTCTCTGTGACAGCTCGAGGCTGAGTCAGACGTGTGTTTTTAAAGTCGACCTGTTGTGTCCTACAAAGACAAAAGAGTTTCAACTCTCCAGAGTGTGAAACTCAGAAAAATCACTTAAAGTTTGTTTTGTCCAGACAAAAGTAAAACAGGTCGAGCTCCCAAAATCTGACAACTAGAAATATTTGTATGTGAAAAATATTGAGCTCAAAATAGTTTTCTGTCTTTGTATCATGAGCCAAAAATAAGTTCTTGTACAAAGACCAAAGGCAGAAACTGACCTGATCATTATTATTATTTGTTTGATTTTCTCCAGACTTTATCTTTTATACGAAAAACACGTCACCAAACTCCAGTCGACATGATGTTTGTCTGAAATGATTCAGAACAGTTTTGTATTTCCTGTTCAGTTCTGATCAGGATCGAGCGGCGACACTTTACACAGTTTGAAACACACGAGTGACTTTACAGTTTAGTGTGAAAAGTATAAATAAATACACACAAATACTTTCACTTTAAACATCACTGAAGTATAATTGAATACAAAGGTTTATTTACTTAATGTTTTCAGACCCTGACAACAAAAAGGAGACGAGAGGTTGGATTTTAAAATAAAATACACTTATGAACTAAATCACAAACAAAACACACACAGTTTCTGCCTTTGCACGAAAACTTATTTTTGTCTCATGATACAAAGACACACAAAGTCACAGGAACTGCCAAATAAGGTCAAAGGGGCTTTATGAGCTCAATATTTTTCATGATATTTATTCCCATGATAAAGAATAAACTTAAATACAAACAAAATGACATGAACTATTTTGGCCAAACATGATGTTACAGTGTTCGGCCTTCGGAGGGCAGTGTTGTACTTGTGTGTCTCAGTAGTTCTAACCTCTGACCCTGTGGATTATTCTGTTCTGTGACATTTTAAATCCGGGGCTGGGCAAAAATATAAAAGATTAATCACATGTTAAACACAAAACCAATTCATGAATTCAAAAGTAGAATATAGTGAGTTTTATTGTAAATGTAAATGAAAGTGTCACTGTTGCACAAACTGAACATTTGTTTCTCCAGCAGCAGGACACAAGTCTGTAAAGTCCAGGTTTATTCTTCTTCCTCTGGAGAATCTCGCTCCAAAAAAAAGAAGAGAACCAATTTTTATTTATTTATTTATTTGAGACTTACAGTTCAGTTTGTCAATTCCTAGATTTTGATTTCATGAATTGAATTGAAAAGTAAAGTTCATGTGATCAGCAGCAGGAAAATAAAGAATCAGTATAAAATTCAACTGAAAAAATCAAATCAAACCAAATACAAAACTGAAATGTATTTACACTGTCAGAGCAAGAACGCACAACCAGAAAAGAGAACGCACAACCAGAAAAGAGAACGCACAACCAGAGAACAGAACGCACAACCAGAAAACACAACAACCAGAAAACACACAACCAGAAAACACTTTAGTGCTTTTTGTCAATTCCTAGACCTTTTTTTTTTTTACTTTTCTGAACAAAACCAGTTGTTAAGACACACAACTTTCTGCTGAGGGAAACGACTGTAACATCATCAAAAGCTTTAAGGTCGTTCGTCGCTTTAAAACTAATGCCGCACTTTGGAACATTCCAGATAAAGCAGCAACATCTCCCACAGAAAACTCACCGCTCTGATGTGGTTTTTGTTGACGTTTTCAGTCTGTAGAGGGAATCATCCGGGCGTCGAAGGAAGATCTGGTCCTGTGTCCGGGTCTGGGTCCTCAGAAGGTCCAAAAACTCTGTCACATATTTCATGAAAAGAGTTTGTCGGTGTTAAAAATCCGGTTTGTTTTCGCAGGCGAGAAGACTCCACGACGTTCTCCACAAGCCATTCCTCAAATCCAAGACTAAAGACGACTGAACCGGACGATTTAAAAAAAAAAAAATAAATACACACACAAAAAAAAAAAAAAAAAATCTTGAAAAATTTTTTTTATCTGGAATGTTACGTATTTGTTATGAAAGTGTTTTGTACTTTTTTATTTAATCTGCTTAATAATCTTTGAACAGCTGTGAATAAATATTTTTGTATAAAATATTGAATTTGTCAAAAAATTGTTGTTGTTGACTGAAAACTCTTTTATGAAAAACAGAAGTTATAGTCTGGACTTGTGATGGGCATTCTGTTAAATTTTATTAATCAATCGTCGGGAGAATTCATGATCGATTTTCAATTAATTGAACAGTTTTCATTATTAACAATTAATAATAATAAACTCAACGTTTCCAACATATAAACAGAACGACTTTAGATCCACATCAGTCGTTTGACATTATCATGTGTTTAATTCAATTTTGACACATTTGTTTATGTTTTACACAAACTAAACTTAAAACCACATGACTTCATTTACATAAACTAATGTTTCTGATAAAATGATGATGATGATAGTGTGTGTGTTCTGTGTGTGTTCATGTTTTCACAGATCAGACGTTTGCAGGTTTTTCTTTATTTAACATCATTTCACTTTATTTCTTTTGCTTCTGTTGTGATGAAAAGACTGAAAAGTGTTTGTCTTTTGGACACGTGACTCAACTTTATGTCACAGTGATCAGGACACTGTGTTTACATGAACCAGGACCAAACCAGGACACTGAAAAAACCAGCTGGTACCCGGGACATTGTTGTGCTGTAAACACACTGAACCAGAGACAAATGTGGGACTGTGAGGACGAGACTCCAGTGTTTGTGTCAGACACACACACTCACACATTCAGTTTGTCCATTAAAAATGAACGTGATCGACCAAATTCTTAATGATCAATTATTGATTAGTCGATTAATCACGTCCGTCTCTAGTCTGGACTCCTGAAAAAACATGAAGCACGAATCCCCAATGTCCAGTTACTGTTTGTCTCTGCACACTGCACTGTTGGGAACCAAACTTAGTCCTGGTTTGGTTCTGGTTTGAGCCCAGTTTAGTCCTGATGTTGGACTTGCTCTGGTCCTGTTCTAGTCCTTATAATTTGGGTTCATGTTAGATACACAGATATATTGTTTGGCCCATATATGGACATTTTAGAGTATTGGAGAGAGAGGAGGAGGAAGAGTGTGTGTGTACAGTATATACAAAACACGCCCTGTGGACTTTGTTCAGGTGAAGTTTCTCTCAGGAATCGTCGTGTCTTCAGTCGCAGGTAAGAATCATCTTTAACTAGAACCTTCTTTAAACCAGTAGAACCTCATGACCTGGTGTAAATGACCTGGTGTAAGTGACCTGGTGTAAGTGTGACAGAGTTGACGTGTCTCTGCTGTAACAGTCTTTGACACCAGCAGTTCCAGGTTGGTGCACAGAACACTTCGAGGGCCGTCGCTCTGATTTCCACAAACGTCTTTTGGTTCAGATTTTTGTCCTTAAATCCACAGACGCAGGAGTCACCAAACTTTTCCTCTGGGAGTCACATCGTCCTGACTGTGACGGGGGTCGGGGTCGGGTCGGTCGTATAACAGAAGTGTATGACCTTAATGACGCAGATTATATTTGTTGAAAACAGCCAAACTTTGTTTACATCAGACAAACTGCACAAACACTGAACACAAGAAGAATCAGTCGTCCACTGATGTTTGAAAACTCCACACTGTCAACGTTTACTACTTTAACACCAGATATTTTACTGTCCTTAACTGTACTACAGTACTCTACTACAGTACTGTAGTACACAGTACTCTGTACTGCAGTACTCTACTACAGTACTGTGTACTACAGTACTCTGTGCGTGCGTTGACTGTCACTGTTTGATCTCGAGTTTGTCGGTGATGAATATTCAGCGGTAAATGTAAATACTTCATATAATAATGTAAATATAAATCAATAAAACAGTGTCTTGAAGTGCTCTTTTAGAGTGGACTGTATAAAAGCTGTGGGCGTGTCCTGAGGACAGAGTCTGGGCGTGTCATGTCTCGCCTTATTTATTGATTATAAACTTTGACAGGGCAGTGGAGCAGCAGAGGTGTGGAGCTCCAGCTTCTTTTTGGAAATAGACGAGCACAAAATGTGAATTATAAAACTTAATAAAGACTTTTTATGTTTGCAGAAAAATGGAGAACTCTGGAGCAGGACCAGGGTCTGGACCCAGGGCTGAACCAGGACTAAACCAGGACTATATCAGGTCTAAAACAGGTTCTGGCTCCAGCGGAGTCTCCATGAGCAGTAACAAGTCCAAAGGCTTGATCATCAAGTTTAAAAAAGACCAGAGTGGAGCGTCTGCACAGCTCAGGTCAGTGTCACAGTCACTATAAAAGGATTTCATAAAGTTGGTCGGACGGTCGACCTCTGCACCTCTCGACTTTAAGGTCTGTTCCATCAAAGGCCTTTAACAAATCATAACTGTACAACAGTATATTTGTGGCGGGGCTCTATTAAAAACTCAGACAAGATCAAAATTCCAAGTGCAGGTGGTTTTATTGTACCAGTGTCCAAAGTGCAAAAAAATCCCCAAAACAGTGCAAAAATATTTACAGTGAGCAAAACAGGGTCGAGTTCAGCTTTAACTGTCTCCTTTAATGTCCTTGTTCAGCACAGACGTTTCCTGCTCTGTAACCGGTGTCAGACTGATCAACAGCCAGAAACAGCTCCCCTTTAAACCACCTGACTCCTCCCACTGAGCAACACATCAAAATCATTATAAAGACACACAATTTCACAATAAACCTACCTTGTTTATGCTACTTTGAGCTCACAGTAATAATATACATTAAATGTCAAAAATATGAAGAAAATCATATTACATAACGCGCGTCACGTGATCAGCACCACGGTGCGAACAGCGCCTATTTCAACTACAGGAAACAGTGGCTCGGTTTGTCAGAGGCGCCGCGTCGGAGGAGAAGAGACGACGTCATCGCACAGGGAAGAGACGAGTATGAAACAAACGACTGTAACGAGCTCGAGTGTGAAGCCTGAGAATTAGTAACGGAGGAAAGAGGGGAAAAGGCGATAATAGTGAAAACGGTGCAGATGAATGAAACAGCGGGAAACGGGGAGTGAACTGGTGTGTGTGTGTGTGTGTGTGTGTGTGTGTGTGTGTGTGTGTGTGTGTGTGTGTGTGTGTGTGTGTGTGTGTGTGTCTGTGTGTGTGTGTGTGTGTGTGTGTGTGTGTGTGTGTGTGTGCGCGGGTACGTCAGTGCAGACCGCGGTTATGTGTAGAGGGAAAACACCACCGAAAATCATAGACAGACTGACTCCGTCACAATATTACATGTTTTTTAAAAGTTGTCAACATTCCCCACGTCACTGTGGGTCATTGGTGACTGGGGTCGCCCATTGACTCCCATTCATTTGTAGTTTTAACTCTGGCTCCTGCCTTCATGGGGGTTGGACACAGTCTGATGTCAGGAGAGTTTGAGGGACACGAGTTCTTTGTGCTACTTTTGTCAACACTGAGTCAATGAGCTTCACTAAATCAAACTTTAGTAAAATCCAGCTCCACAAAAGCTCTTCCCTCTGCTCCACTGCAAACATCTTTACATGTTGTTTTTGTTTTCAGGTAGAATTTAGAAGAGTTTTGTTTGAGTGTTTTTATTTCTGTTTTACAATGTCATTATTTAACACCACACAGAACGCACAAAGGTGTGTGTGTGTGTGTTGTGTGTGTGTGTTTGTTGTGTGTTGATGCTTCACACAAATCTTTCTTCAGTTTTACATTTCAAATAAAACATCTGTGTCTGTTCCTCAGAGACGACAGCCCCTATGGACCCACCACAGAGTCTCTGACAAGTGAAAACTCCAAAGACAAGAACCTAGACTTTAAAGACTCACATCAGAGGTACAAACTAAACCAGGACTGAACCAGGGGGTTCAGTCAAGTGTTAACGGAGGGAAACAGGGTCAGATTTTTGACATTCAAATGTCTCTTATTCAGAAACTAGAGGAACTATTGAAATAAGTAAAGTATCAGAATGTAGGAAAGAGTTACACTCCAACAGGGTCAAGTTAAACCTGTGAGATTCTTTCAAGTTCAACACAAAAAATTTAAAAACTCATGTCGGTAACGGAGGGAATGAAATATGCAGCACTTTTTGGTCAATAAATCCAAACAGTGATAACTCTTGGTTCTCACTTCCATATCCTTAACAAACTGGTTTGAATATTTGCTTCATATAGTTTTCTACCATATGGTACAAGATTAGGTTGAAAAACCTCTGACTTTTTGACTCATGAGATTTTTTATTGAAGAAAGTTCATGGTAACGGAGGGAAAAGTAACGGAGGGAAAATTGTACAAACAAGTAGAAGGTGCAGGATTTTACATCATTTGTGGCTTTTTTCTTCTGAATATTTTAATATTACTTCAAAATGAAAGAAACTATTTCTATAAAATATGTCAGTCCTTCCAAGAACATTTTTATCATTTTAAATACTTTTTTTTTTTTAAATCCTGTCCCTTCATCAACAGTTCAAAGATGGAATAACACAAGATATGATGAAATACAAACATTTATTTACATGATTTTCAGGTCTTTGAAATTTGGGAAATAATTTTTGTTCCATGTTTCATACATGGTCTGTTTAAAACATATGGAACTTTACAACCAAAAATGGAACAGAAAAAAGGTCAACAGTTTGATAAACTCGAGTACATATGTATCTGTTCAATACACTTTTATATCAGATTGAATTCACTTTTGGCCTTGATGTTTACTTCTGCTTGACCAGGCCCCAGGATTAAACCAGGACTAAACAGGATTGTTTTTATTGATTGATAGAGACGAGGATCTGAGCTTTCCCATTGGTCAGGAGCCTCAGGCGGAGCTGGACTCCATCTTCCAGGTCTGAACACAAACACACACAGACACACACACACACACACACACACACACACACACACACACGTTCATGTGTAAATGAATCTGCTGCTTGTGACAATGTTGGTTGTTTCTCAGATATTCAGATCAGAGTTTACAGTCTAATTGTAAAGTGCAGCTCCACATATGTTTTTGTTTAACACTAAATACCACAAAAATAAATAAATAAAAAAAAAAAAACACAGTTGATGCATTTTCACACTCCACCGCAGGACGAGGTGAGGAGGTGTGGACTCTACTGTAGTGGATAAAATAATGTCTAGATGAATCCATAAGAGAATCATGGTTTGTTGAAGCTCTGGCTCCAGATGAGCCGCTCTAAGTGCTGGCCTCCATGAGCTTCATTTGGAGCTGAGCTGTGGGTGACGTCACACTCAGAACACTTCTTCACACAGTGTGTGGTTCCAGGTTCTGGAGGAGCAGGTCCTGAGGTTTGTCCAACAGCAGCTGCAGAGGCTCCACAGGCTCCTGGCCTCAGATTACCCAGAATGCTCCGAGAGTGAGGAGGAGGAGAGCAGAGAGGTTCTGAACATCACCCTGGACTTCCTGAAGAGGATGGACCAGGAACATCTGGCCCAGCGCCTGAGAGACAGTAAGAACCTCCAGATGCCCTCCCATCCTCCTGTATCCCTGTGTGTCAGGTGCCCTCCCCGTGTGTCAGGTGCCCTCCCCGTGTGTCAGGTGCCCTCCCTGTGTGTCAGGTCCCTCCCCGTGTGTCAGGTGCCCTCCCCGTGTGTCGGGTGCCCTCCCCGTGTGTCGGGTGCCCTCCCCGTGTGTCGGGTGCCCTCCCCGTGTGTCGGTCCCCGTGTGTCAGGTGCCTCCCCGTGTGTCAGGCCCTCCCTGTGTGCCCTCCCTGTGTGTCAGGTCCCTCCCAGTGTGTCAGGTCCCTCCCGTGTGTCAGGTGCCCTCCCCGTGTGTCAGGTCCCTCCCCGTGTGTCAGATTTCCTCCTGTATGAAATATGTGACATGTTTGACATTCTAACTCTTGTGTGTTGTTTAAAGGGAGTAAAGTTGGATTCAGAGATAAACTGAAGTGTGATCTGCAGCAGAGGTTCAGTCGTGTGTTTGAGGGCGTGGCTAAAGCAGGAGACTCCGCCCCCCTGACCCAGATCTACACAGAGCTCTACATCACAGAGGGCGGAGCCTCAGAGGTCAACCAGGAACATGAGGTCAGACACGTGGAGACGGCGTCCAGGAGACCGGCCGCTCCAGAGACCATCACATGTGAAGAGCTCTTTAAACCCCGCCCACATTCACCACAGCCAATCAGATTAGTGCTGACGAAGGGCGTGGCCGGCGTGGGGAAAACAGTGCTGACTCAGAAGTTGAGTCTGGACTGGGCTGAAGGCCGGGCCCACCAGGACCTCCAGCTGCTGTTCCCCTTCACTTTCAGAGATCTGAACGTGCTCAGAGACACACAGTTCAGCCTGGTGGAGCTGCTGCACCACTTCTTCAGTCCATCCAAAGATCTCTGCAGCTTCCAACAGCTCCAGGTGCTCTTCATCTTTGACGGTCTGGACGAGTGCAGACTTCCTCTGGACTTCGGCCGAACCCGGGTCCTGAGCGACCCCACAGAGTCCGCCTCAGTGCACGTGCTGCTGGTGAACCTCATCAGGGGGAGCCTGCTTCCCTCCGCTCTCCTCTGGATAACCACGCGCCCCGCCGCGGCCAATCAGATCCCTGCTGAGTGCGTCTCCATGGTGACAGAGGTGCGAGGGTTCGCCGACCCGCAGAAGGAGCAGTACTTCAGGAAGAGGTTCAGAGACCAGGCCACGGTCGTCATCTCCCACATCAAGAGCGTCCGCAGCCTCCACATCATGAGCCACATCCCGATCTTCTGCTGGATCCTCTCCACAGTTCTACGGAAGCTTCTGGAACAAACAGAACCAGAGCTGCCCCGGACTCTCACACAGATGTACGTCCACTTCCTGGTGGTGCAGGCCAAAGTCCAGAACATCAAGTATCAGCAGGGATCAGGGGAGGACCTTCACTGGACTCCAGAGACCAGGGAGATGGTGAAGTCTCTGGGAAAAGTGGCCTTTGAGCAGCTGCAGAAAGGAAACCTGATCTTCTACGAGAGTGACCTGAGCGAGTGTGGGCTGGACGCTGCAGCGGCCTCAGTGTACTCCGGAGTGTTCACACAGGTCTTTAGAGAGGAGCCAGGCCTGTACCAGGACAAGGTCTACTGCTTCATCCATCTGAGTGTGCAGGAGTTTCTGGCTGCTCTTCACGTCCATCAGACCTTCTACAGCTCTGGAGAGAACCTGCTGGAGACACCACACTCCTCTGAGAGAAAAAGTCCAGACCCTGAGGCCAGAGATCTCCTCTGTCCCTCTACCGCTCTGCTGTGGACCAGGCCTTACAGAGTCCAAACGGACACCTGGACCTGTTCCTGCGCTTCCTCCTGGGGACTGTCTCTGCCGACCAATCAGAGGCTGCTGCAGGGTCTGCTGACTCACACAGGAAGTGACCCGACCAATCAGGAGACAGTAAAGTTCATCAAACAGAAGCTGGATGAAGAGGGTCTGTCTGCAGAGAGAAGTCTGAACCTGCTCCACTGTCTGAACGAGCTCAACGATGGCAGTTTGGTGCAGGAGATACAGAAGAACATGAGGAGATACCTCTCTGATGGAACCATGTCTCCTGCTCAGTGGTCTGCTCTGTCCTTCATCTTACTGTCCTCAGACTCAGACCTGGAGGAGTTTGACCTGAGGAAATACCAGGCCTCAGAGAACGCTCTCCTGGGTCTGCTGCCGGTGGTCAGAGCCTCCACCAAAGCCCTGTGAGTCCAGACTGTATTTAAACTCTTGTGTGGAGGTTCAGTCTCTAAGTCTCCCCAGTCTCTAATGTCCCTCTCTGTCCTCAGACTGTATTTAAACTCTTGTGTGGAGGTTCTAGTCTCTAATGTCCCTCTCTGTCCTCAGACTGTATTTAAACTCTTGTGTGGAGGTTCTAGTCTCTAATGTCCCTCTCTGTCCTCAGACTGTATTTAAACTCTGTGTGGAGGTTCTAGTCTCTAATGTCCTCAGACTGTATTTAAACTCTTGTGTGGAGGTTCTAGTCTCTAATGTCCCTCTCTGTCCTCAGTCTTTGTGGCTGTGGTCTGTCTCCTCACAGCTGTGCTCCTCTGGCCTCAGTCCTCAGCTCCTCCAGTCTCACACATCTGGATCTCAGTCACAACGACCTCCAGGACTCAGGAGTGGAGCTGCTGTGTTCTGGACTGAAGAGCGCCCCCTGCAGACTGGAGACGCTCAGGTGAGACGCTCCCATGATGCACTCTGCCCCCTTGTGTCCACATGAGTGTAATGCTGTGTCTTTAGGCTGTCTGGATGTCTGGTCTCAGAGAGGGGCGGGGCTGCTCTGGCCTCAGCTCTGAGCTCCGCCCCCTCCCACCTCAGAGAGTTCGACCTGAGCTACAACCATCCAGGACCCTCCGCCGAGCTCCTGACCGCTCTACAGGACCAGCGCCCCCTGCTGTCTGTCAGGTGAGACTGCACTGGTCTACTGGTCCTGGTCTGGTCTGGTCCTGGTCTGGTCCTGGTCTGGTCCTGGTCTGGTCCTGGTCTGGTCTGGTCCTGGTCTGGTCCTGGTCTCTGGTCCTGGTCTGGTCCTGGTCTGGTCCTGGTCTGGTCCTGGTCTGGTCCTGGTCTGGTCTAAACTGGACTTGTGTGTTTCAGGTTGGATCCTGCTGGAGAGCGCTGGATGGTTCCAGGTCTGAGGAAGTGTGAGTTTGGTTTTGTTTGATAAAAGTGTCTTTAGTTTGTCACATTTCTGTCTCTTCTGATGTGGTCCAAACTGAGGAAATGTTCAGGAGCTGCACCTCCAGAACAGATCACACCTTTACTGTTCACTGATACACATCTGTGAGGGAACAGCGCCCTCTTCAGGGTTTAGAGAAAATGTTCTCAATTCTGAAAGATGTTTTATCACATTCAGATGTTTTGTGTTTCAGACTCCCGTGACGTCCCTCTGGACCCAAACTCAGCTCACAGACTTCTGCGAATGTCTGAGGACCATCGCACTGTGACACATGTGAATGAGCAGCAGGAGTATGAAGATCATGGCGACAGGTTCGCAGTCTGGCCTCAGGTCCTGAGCTGCACTGACCTGAGGGAGTGCTGTTACTGGGAGGTTTACTGGAGTGGACGGGTTCAAATCGCAGTGAGTTGCAGAAGGATCGACCGGCGCGGACGGGGACTGGAGTGTGAGTTTGGACTCAATGATCACTCCTGGAGTCTGAGGATCTTTGATGGTGGAGAATACTGTGTCCATCACAACAGCGTCACAACACGACTCCAACGCCCCTGTCACTCAGAGAGAGGGGACGTGTCCTCTGGTGAAGGGGGCGTGTCCTCGGGCAGAGTGGGCGTGTTCCTGGACTCTGAGGCTGGAGCTCTGTCCTTCTATGAGGTCTCCTCTGATGGAGAACTGTTCCACCTCTGGACCTTCTCCTCGTCCTTCTCTGAGCCTGTGTTCCCAGGGTTTGGACTGTTGTCTCCAGGTTCCTCTGTGACTCTGGTGGACCTGAGCCGGGCCCTTTGTGTCTGAAAAACTGGGACTTTACCTGGACTTGACTTGGGTCAGTGTCAGAGTTTGTCACAGAGACAGACACTTTTATTTTCTTTTGTGTGAGGCATTTTCAACTTATTTAGTTTTATACTGTTATTATTCAGTTTTATTATTTTTATTGTTATTAAGCAAATTATACAAAACTAACATTTTATACACATTTTAAAATACTTAAACCAATTCAGAAAATCTTCCAACAGTGAAACAAGGACAGAAGATGTGGGACTCTACACCCACTAAACCATTCTTGGAGTCAGAAACACTTTTTCACTGAAATGTTCTTTAGTGTTTTTGTAACAAGTGTTTGCTTATTACCATGTAATAAATGTGTAACAAATGTGTAATTGTAATGACTACTGTGTGTAATTAGCAGAGTTGGATGGTCAGAAGATTCTAGATGAGGCTACAGGAGGCAGGGGCAGTAAATTAAGACAATGGACTAGTTGAAAATGAATAATGTTTATTATACAGAAAAAAGTGAAATAACCCAAAATGTACATCAGCTACAGCAAAACAAAAATCAACCAAACTCAAAATCAGTTAAACATCCTTGAGAACCCGGTGTGTTTACCCAGCGCGGAAAAACAGTTCAAGCTCCAGTAGAGTCCAGTGTCAGTTATTATGAGGAGGTACGAGGTCCGTGAAGCGCAGATGACAGAACAGTTGAGTAGTTTGTGTAGTTTGTGTAGTTTGTGTAGTTTGTGTAGCTGGAGGAGGTGGGAGACAGACGACACGCGGTGAGTCTCCTACCAGACCAGAGCTTCTCTCACAGGACAGTCCCTCGCTCGCCATCGGAGTAAACCAGTTTTTGGGCACCTGGTCTGTGTGCAGATTAGGGATATGATTCATTAATCGATAATTGATCATTAAGAATTTCATCGATTACGTTGATTTTAATGGACAAACTGAATGTATGTTAGTGTGTGTCGTGACCAAACAGGTGTGTACATGTGTCTCTGCATCAGAAGGAGCGAGACACAAACAGTGGGTCAGTCTGTAACGAACCGAAGCACAAATGTGGATTTAACCAGGATTTGTAGAAGAAATTCCACACTTTCCGTTTGCGTTGGGACAAGTGTGAGTCCATGTGCACAGTGTATAAAGCAGCACATATGTTTCTGTGTCCAGTGGGAAAAAGTTTTTCCAGGTGAGAGTCGCTCAATGTGGATGACGAGGCCCCGCCCCCCTCCCCCGTACGCTGTCCTGGTTTTGACAAACACAAATCTGGTCACACTGACCTGTATTCACCTGAGTCATGTCTTTTTAATCCAACACAAGTTGAACCACATCAGCGACACAAGAGCTGGAGTTTTATCTTCACTTAGTTTATGTAAATTAGTGATGTGGTTTTAAGTTTTGTTTCTGTGAGATTTGAACAAAACTGAATTAAACACATTATAATGTCAAACAGCTGATGTGGATCTAGAGTCGTTATGTTTATATGTCGTAAAGTTGAATTTATTGATGCAGATTAGTGCAGATAGTAATAATAATGATGATCATTTTAATATAAAAACGTTCATGATTAATCGATAATCGATCGTTAATTCTTCCGACGATCGATTAAGAAAATTTCATCGAATGCCCGTCCCTAGTACACATTAAAAAAAACTCTTAGAACATAATACTGAGTGCGTATACATGCGCATGTAAATCATGTTTGTAAATTACAATCGGTCACAAGATTAAAAACCTCATGTGGAGCACGTTAGCATATGCTAACAGCTAGCATGCTAATGCTAAGCTAATAAACATGGACATGGCTCCATGGATCATGGACATGGGAGACATTAGCATTAGCATTAGCATGAAAAGCTAATAAGAACAAAGCCAACAATCAATAAACGGGTTTTCATTTGGAACTTACCAGTTCAGTGTTTTCAGTTGACAGGCCCAGCGCACATGACACCGTCACACATCAGGTCTGGTTATAAAAAGGTGTGAAGTTAAAAATGTGAAACATGAGAACATGAAATGTAAAAGTGTAAATGTACTGACCTTCAGAGCTCTGCCCCCTGATCCTCCCACGAGAGACGAGACAGACGTCAGGGACATTATATACTCTGTCTGATGACGTGTGATTGGATAATTGGTGAAATGGGCGGTGACATGTGGCACAGGGAAAAACCTTGGTTGGATCTGGACAACCGGATTGAGTTTTGCCCTGGTTACTGTCCCAGTTCTATTGTGGACATATGTGGATGTTACGTGCGGGTACATTGATTTGGATTTAGTTGTTTTTGTTCCCTTTTGTAGTTAGTTGTAATTAGTCTTTTTTGCATGATTTTTGTTTGTGGTTTGTTTTTGTGTGGCTGTGTGGAGCCTATAAAATCTGGCTGTTTTGCCCGTGGCGCTCTCTCTTGCGCTGCTCCTCCGCTCTGCTCACCTTGTGCGCTCCAGTCTCCGTGTGCGCACCCTGAGGGTGGCCTCGCCCCTGTCAGCCAGGTGCAGGGTGGGCTCCAATGTGCCTGCGTTGGCCATTAGCCTTTTGTTTTGACCTGGTGGGATAGTCTGTCCTGTTTTCGCTTTTCTTTTGGGTTCAGGTTTGTT